TTTCACCCTTATTCATCTCTCTCTCTCTTTCTCTTCCCCCCCCCCCTCCCCTCACTCCCTCGCCCTCTCTCTCACTCTCTCCCCCTCTCTCACGTCTCTTTCATTTCGATGCTACGTTCGAAAATTCGCGCATGGTGCTTATGTACACGGAGCCGAGCTGTTCGAGACTAAAATCATGCCTATCATGTACGATACGTACACATTGTCAATTATTTTCTATTAAATTACTATCTTCTGTAAATGCAATAAATGTGTATAGAATAACGAGTAATTCGACGAAAACGCACTCGCGCTGGACATGCGTAAGCGCGAGTCGTGAATATTTAAACGAGAAACGGATAACTCAGTGTGAGTCAATAAAGATGGGAAGAATGACAGTCTGGAACAGCTCCGACGTGGCAATAAAAAATTTGTTCGATTCAACTCAAGTCTAAAAACCCGCTACTTTTCGTACGGCACTACGGTAGGCTGGAGTTTAGGCTTTCTGGCAAACGATAGTTCATCATATGATATGGCGGGCTCGCAGGACTTCCCGGTTGACTATTCATGCCAAGATTACTTGAACCACGACCGCGTTTTCGCCTTTGCAATATACCTTTTCTAACCATATAAAATCGAATCGTACTTATCGGAATTTTGTACTTTTCCGAAGCAACTTGAAATGTCATACCACGTGCTACCATATCCGAAGCTTGCTTCAATTCTTCTTCCGAACGTCTTTGTCGTCTCTGATAACCTGAAAATTACATAAATGACAATTCAACGAAGAAAAAAGGCTTTATCTTATTGTTTCTTAATTGCGATCAAATAAAATATCACTGCTTAATATTTAATACTCGACGTTTAAGATCTAGCAAAAGAGAAGGAATGAAAAGACCAGAAATGAGAAAAGAAGAGAAAAAGAGAAATGAAGGAAAAAGAAAAAGAAAGAAAAAACGATAAGTATAAAAACTGTAAAGACAAATGAAAAAAAATGTACATGATTTTATACTAGTTTGTATAATTTTAACAAGCAAAATAAAATTTGTTTGCCAATTTCTTTGCTCGATCATTTTCTACTACTTATTTTCTCCCACTTTACTCTTATCTTACCTTCAATTGCAGGAAACGGGCTACTAGGATTACAATTGCTGCTCGGTACCATACTAATAGAGTATGGCTTGACATCATGCTGCTGGGTAAATTGCTCATCTGGCTCCATTTTAACCATCCCCTGAGTCTCAGTTAAAGTCGCTTCGCAAGCGCTAAGTGCTTTTTCCAAATGCTGTAACGCCTCGCTATGCTCCATATTCATAAAATTTGATGAATTGGGATTCTGCGGAACCGGTGTAGTACTATGCGATGGAGCGCTTGCCGTACTAGACGCAGCAATCGATGTAGTCTCTAGAAAGTTGGCATTCGAAGTTCCATCATCGGATGGAGTTTCCTCGCTTTTATAATCAGATCCATCTTGCTGTACCGTCGTAGATGGTGCAACAGCGACATTAGAGTCACATTGTTGTGAATTACTTTCACTCGAAGAACTATCATTTCCTTGAGTAGATAAACCACGAACCTGGTGATGGAGTTGTCGTAAAAATTAACCCAATCTATATAAATTCCTTTCAACACATTACTTGCAACAACAAAGAGAAAATCAGTACTCGGAAAGTATTTTAATTCATTTACCTGCAAAACTTCAGCAGCTTGCATTAACTTAGCGAGCTGCTGTTGCTCCACATATACTTCTCCGCGATACATAAACTCTACTAGAGCTTGAAGTTCCCACATTCTCATATCTCTCAAAAATATAATAGGATGAGTGCAAGGTATTTCTAACAACAAACGTTCCAGATAATCGCTACATGCGGACAATACCACCTTGTGACACTTTATCGAGCCTCCATCACAGGCTAAAGTAACATCAACAAATTGCTCAGAACTTAAAAGTTTTGGAAATGCACTATGCATATTTGATTGGTGAGAGTTCCATGAAACGCAAAACTGTTGACGATCCCCGCCAGGGTAATTACCCGGGGTATGCAGGTTACTTCCACCTTCCATTATTTTGCAGCTTTAGAACAATTTTCCTGTCAATATCAACACATTTCTTAATTACACTTTTATACTTTAAGAATGTTTATTTCATCATCAAAAACGCTACAACAAATCAAACACTGTAAAATATAATAAAACTGTCTGTAGCAAAACTTAGAACATTAAACAATATGTAAAGTTTATAAATTTTACAATCGTTACAAAATAAACATTTATGGTATTATTTAGGAAGAATAAAACCCACAATGCAATTCAAATTCAATTTTTGCTAAATATTTATATAAACTTGGCATACTACATTACATATTATTCATAGCTAATTTTATTGTATCGTAAATACTGCTTATTCTAATGTCTTTATTTAATTTTCTTTTTTTCCTTTATAATTAAATAATACCTACTTTTCACCTTAATTTCTTACCGAATCAATATATATAAATTAAGAATATTTGACATATTTTAAAGAAGATCTTTAAATGAGACACTTATTGAAATCTAAATTTGTACAATAATAAATAAAAACTACATACTCAGGCTCGATAGACAAATGATTATGAACATAACTTTACTAAAGCTTAATATTATGGTGGGATGCTTTAGAGGATAATTATTGACAATATGCACCTATAAAAGTAGAAAAAGTATGCTTGCTGAATATATATTATGAACAAAATTTTAAATAAATACAAAAGTGACACTTACTAAATAATATTTGTTTAAAACAATATACAATATGGCTATATTGCCAAAGAAACTATACTATCAGCTATACACATTCAACTTTTATTATAAATAATTATGTATAAATGTGCAACATAATTGAAAAATATAAAAGATATACCTGCGATTCGTTATTCAAATTGGTAATTCTATTGTAGCTTAGTGCATTTACAAGAAAGGAAATCAACATCGAGAAGCCTTTAAAGAAAATCCATGGCACTAGCCGAGAACGAATATGCAACAAAACAAATCTGTCGTCAGAAGCACAAACGAATTCCCCGGAAAAAATGTTCAAATACAAACTTTAGTTACGCGGCGTTTATCGTAATCACGTGCTCAAAGCGTACTAGCCGACAGGTTAACCAAAAAATATCCAATGTACATGAAGAAGTATCAAATTTTTTTGTCAATAGAAAAATGGTGAAATCTTTGTGGGAGACGCTGTCGGCGTGAGTGCCATCACCCCCCAGGAACGCCTTGAACACAAGTTTGGTCTTTCTTTTTAATTTATGAAACCAAATCCAGTGGACTTCGGAAAACCAAACAACGAAATGTAGTATGAATTTTACAGTAAATGATTTCACTCACGAATTTTCAGCTCAATCGACCCCTCTCAGATTTTCGCGTCGCTTTCGGGAAGAATCCCTTAAGAAAACATTCATCCGCCGAGATTTGCACTAGCTAGGGGAGCTCGAACGAAAGGGTGGGGGTAGTAAGGCTGGGGGTAGCTTAGTGGAACACTAGCGCACCTCTTGCCTTTCCTGAAAACTCTTACGAACGTTAAACTCCCCGAATCTCTGTCTAAAACTATTCTATCTATACCTATGCTTTATTTATCTATATACCTATGTTATACAAATATTTCGATTTCAACTAAACAATCCCATGATTCTTTGAAATCTTCCTTAAAAAAATGAATAGCTGTATAAAATATTTTTACTATACCATTGTTTACTGTTAACATCATTACTTATTTCATTTAAAATCATATCCTTCTTTTCTAAGACAACAATAATGACATGTGTTCTTTACTTTCAGCCATTGTAAATAATAACTTTTTGAAGGTTTGTTTCTCTATTGTACTCTCCGTTTTTCCACAATGCTAATATTTTAACAAGTAGCAAGAAATGTAATTGTCACACATTCACCAATTAAAACAAAACACCATTTCCCAAAATGGAATTCTATATACATGCATATTCGCGCCATTACTTGAAAATGCTCCATAAGTTTTAATAAAATTAGGTTATCAACATTTTCATCGATTCATGTTTCCAACGTGTAACAACAAAATATTAAAATGTATTCAAATGACGATTGGTTGAGGTAACCTTCCTTAAACTCGAATATTATACCTCTATATTTTATCACCATTTGATTCCATTTTTATTGTTTAATTACTGTGATTGTTTGTTGCATAGTTTTCATTTATATAATTGGTTAAAATACAGCTGATATTAAAATTATCAATTGTACCGTAACCAATGGAAACAGATTACAATTTAGTTTATTTTATCCGTCAATTTTAATTGGCTTAAAAAAATGTTTCCTTGTTCCCATTAATAAAGTATTATCATTTAACGCTGTTTTTTATTAGCATGATTTATTACAATGCGATATAACTTAGTAAAGTGTAGATGTATGTAAAATTTATATAAAAATCGACATTCACCTCTTTTGATATTCAGGTTCATTGTATGATCTTAAACTTTCCTACACTATGATTGAAAAATAATTGACTCTTTTACATAGTACTCGATAAATATCACTTTTATTGTTCTTCTTTCCCCTCACCTATATTTTTTTCCTTCTCTTTCTTCTTTTTTTCCTCTCCTTTTTTATTGTGTATATTTATTGAATTTTGTTGAATACAAAAGAAACTGAGACGTACAAAATATGTTGAAAATTACTGGTTATGATGCGCATGATGATGGACCAGGTTTCGTTGGTATTAGATTTTGTCAAGAATGTAACAACATGTTATATCCAAAAGAAGATAAGGAGAATAAAGTACTAATGTATGCAGTAAGTATAATATATGAAATGCATCTCGTTTATCAAATCAAAACCTCGATCAAAACGATACTTAATTCAAAAACTTTTTTGTAGTGCAGAAATTGTGATTTCAAGCAACTAGCTGATAGCAATTGTATTTATGTAAATAAAATTATGCACGAAATAGAGTAAGTAAAAGTAACAATTTTTATATTTATAGATACAAAATGAAATTTCTGTTCTCTTTCTTTTTAAAAAAATTATTCAGTATATTTTATTATATATCTACTTTATTATAATTTTTATGATTTTAGTGAATTGACACATATTGTTGCGGATGTCATATCAGATCCTACTTTACCAAGAACCGAAGAACACCCATGTCCAAAGTGTAATCACAGAGAAGCAGTATTTTTTCAAGCACAAACTAGACGAGCAGAAGAAGAAATGAGATTATATTATGTTTGTACTAATCAGCATTGTTCTCATAGGTGGACAGAATAATGTTTTAGAAGCAGTTTGAAAATCTATAAAAAAGATAATAAAAGTAATAACAAAAGGAAAAATATGAAACGCAATAAAGCATATATTTATTTATTGATACGCATTATTGTAATGATTTATATATAAAGTAATAATTATGATAAATAAACATGTCTAATGCAAAATTTAAATTATTAAGTACACTGTATACATTTAGTAATCGATAATTATAATTATTGATACATTATTTAATTGTACACATTGTGATTTTCAATAACAACATAAGACAGATAATACATTGATTGAAATTGGTTGTCACATGTCTGAATCTACAAAAATTTGGACATTTTTGCAGCTAAGAGCTTGTGCGCACGCGTAAAACAAAGTTATTTACGCCCCTAACCGATTTCTATTTCGTGTCGACCTTGTTTTCAATGCGAAAGTGACGTCTCTTGATGAAAATTCTCCTCGTTTCTAGAATTTACGAAAACAATAACGGGAATTAGCAGTGACATTCATTGAACAATATAATGCTCTCTTATCTTTATTATATCAGAGAAACGTTTGCGATAAATTTAATTGATTAATGGGTGCAGCGCATACGACTAAACTTACAGAAAAAATGGAGAAGTAAAGATTATATCTTTATAACAATCATAACTGTACATGATTTGAGAATGATTATAGGTTATCTGTTTTCGTTTATCATTTTAGTTCTCAACGTTCAAATGGACGAGAGAAAACGGAAGAACAACCGCGTGTAAACAGCAGCACAAGGCCATTATCAATTGAAGGGCCATCAAATATGAATAATACTGAGCCACAAATATATGAACCATTGCCAAACCAACCTAGGCAACCAACAAATTTACAAGGATTACTTAGGTATGCTATGGAAGCAACCCACTCTCAAAGTAATTATGATACACAGTTTCAACCCATTGATAAAGAAGTAAGTGACATGATTTTGCTGTTACATTATCAGCGTAACTTCGATAGAAGATTAATTAAAGTTGAACTATATATTTACAGAGACAAGAATTTTTGAAAGAAACACTTTGCTCTCTATCATGCAATGTGATCGAGGAATTACAAAAAGCTATAAAACTATTATCAAATATAGTTAATGTTCATCCAGATGATGATACATCGCAATATGAATCTGCATTAGAAAGGATTGTAGATTTTGTAGATAATATAGATATTGCTAATGACTTTTATAAAATAGGTGGTTTTTCAATATTTCATCCTTGCTTACACTCTCCTCATAGCAGTATTAGATGGAGAGCAGCAGATGTAATTGCTGAATTAACTCAAAATAATCCCTTCTGTCAAGAAAAATTTCTAGAAACTGACTTGTTTCCCATATTATTGAACATGGTAGACACAGATCCTGCAGAAACAGTCAGAATCAAAGCTTTATATGCTGTTTCCTGTAAGTCGAATACCTTTATTCAAATAGAAAACATATTGATTTATATCTTATTCATTTGCCATTATAGTTGAATTATATTCATACTTATTTATTAATCATATTCACTTACAATAAATAATGCAATACAATTTATCGTATTTAACATAGGCATAGTTCGAGAACATCCAATGTCTTTGATTGACATGGATTTACATGATGGATATTCTATTCTCTTAAGAGCAATGCAAAGTTCGGTAACAAAATTACAAATTAAGTCTGCATTTCTTTTATCCTCTCTTTGTAACAAGGAAAATGTACAAAATGTAAAATTAATACTGGTGAATATGGGCTTGATTGAACAAGCTACAGGTTTGCTGGCCATTAATGATATACTTCCAGAAATTAGGTATTATTTTCTATGCCTGTTTCTTCTTATAATATAATTAAATTGATCTCAACAATTGATCAATTAATTAAATTCATCTTTAATGTTTCAGAGACCAATTGCTAAATATTCTTGACGGTTTGACCAACGATGATTTTCTCCCTGCTTTAAAAGAATGCAGACGACCTGAACTTCGTTTACAGTCTACATTAGAGCATTACATAAAGGATTTAAAACACGAGGACAATCCTGACCAGATAGATATATGTCATCGAATGATACAGAAGGTTTTTTCCGATCAAGATACAAATCAAGAAAGATAATTGTAATTTACAATAATATTAAATTCTCTTTATGTTCATTAAACTTGTGTATCAACAAATATTATGGTTGATAAATAAAATAAATGTATTTTATTTATATTATACCATATACACCTTGGTTCTTCAATTTATTAATAAACATTAAAACAGGTTACAATTGGACGTTGTTCTCATAAAAGAAATTAACATAAATGAACAAAAAAAAAGGTACAAATGACACTTTAAAGGCAGATAACTGTAATACATTGCATTGTATAAAGCTGATATAATTCATTAAATGTAAATATTATGCTGTTATGAACATAGAAAACAATACACAACAGGCTCATTCGAGTCAACACTCTTTAGCTAACTGATATAATTGTTTGTAAAATTCCATAAAAGGTCTAGTTTAATCAAAGTATCGATATCATTTTTTATTTTGCGATGATAATGGAATAATAATAGAAAGAAAGAAAGAGAAAAGAAAAAATAGAAAAATTATAAACAACATTTCCAAAAAGAGAATCAACAGAATATATATCACTCATTTAGGAGTGCAATTAATAAACCGATTTATGTAAAAGATAAATAATAAATAATTCATTCATGTTAATTTCTTCCATAACGTACATGACACATAAAGAATGTAAACAATGACAAAGCTATAACGTTTTGATTCATATAATTTCGTACAGTGGTTTGAAGTTCGTTAGGATCGAAACTATAAAACTATAAATATGGCCAACGAAAAACCTACGAAACAAACGGAGGACGAAGAGTTAAATAATTTATTAGATAGTGAGTAATTATAACATTATGAGTTCTAGGATTAAATAAATGTAATTTAAGAAACATAACCCCACTCTTTATAAATGTCTGATGTTTTTTTTTTTTTTATTAATTGATACATTTGTTAAATCAATTATTTTACAACGTTATATGAAAAAGAATAACTTAATTGAAAATAACAAAATAAATAAAAAACATATTTATTTTCCATATATTATTTCTTATAAAAATAAATAATCATTTATCAATTTTTGATTACGTAATTTCCGAGACTTTCATATCAAAGTGAAAACGCTTAAAATATGTAGTAAATATCTTTTTGTTACATATAAGGTTGATAAGTATCATCATTTTATGATTATTGTCTCAGGTGCTTTGAAGGATTTCAATAAGGAGCAAAAGTTTGATAAGGAAGATACAATTAAAATAGATACTTCCGAATCCACAACAAACAACAATGCACCTGACATTTCAGAAGATGGTTGGACAACGGATTTTATTAAACAAGCGGCAGAACAATTTGAGGAAAATATGCAAAATTTTATACAACATGGTAATGGTTTATGAAAAATCTAAAAGACATGTTATTTAAGAGTTTTTCCATTAGGAACGGATAATGAATTAGGCGCTTTCCAAAGGATGGCGCAAGCAGTTGCTAGTGTAATAAATGATGAAAGTACCCTTGATAAAGATGGTGTGAGTACAGATTTTCAGTCTGCCATTGCACGAGCATTAAATGACTTGTCTGCAACCTCAGAAAATTTACAGGTAGTTGTTTCAGAAATCATCTGAGTCTTTCTTTTATTTAATTCTTTGTATCTTGAAAAAATTCACGTTCTTTCGTCGAAACATTGTAGAGCGAGGCTGATTTATCTGAAATGTTTGGGCAAGTATCCTTAGAAGATGGTCCTGGTGCCATTTTACCATTTATGCAAGGAATGTTGCAGCATTTACTATCAAAAGAAATTTTATATCCGACATTGAAAGAATTAGTAGATAAATATCCTGAATGGCTAGAAAAGAAAAAAGCAACAATATCCACAAGTGATCTGCAGAGGTCTACGAAACAATTTGAATTAATGCAGCAGGTTGTTATACAATAGAAATAATTATAGAAGTAAATTGCGTTTCCTTGTGGATATCATTCTTTTATAGAACTGATAAAAGTAACTTCTAATTTTAGGTATGTACTGAACTCGATAAAGAAAAAGACGATGATACAGAAGAAATGAAAAAGAAACGTTTTGAAACAATAATATCACTTATGCAAGAAATACAAGGTTATGGGCAATTACCCGAAGAACTCGTAGGAGAACACACAACTCCTTTTCAAATCGATACAGAAGGCGATCCTATGATTCCAGCGTTATTACGTAACATAGAATCACCACAAAATTGTTCTTTAATGTAAATCAATTTTCTAATAGTGCAATTTCTGTGTCTCAATAGGACAACAAATTGCTATTTTAAGAAAAATTCAGGTAATGCATTGGGTGTTTCAGACATGTACATATCTGTTATATGTACAAGAAATATATGGGAATTTATTTAATACAACTTATTATTCTCAGTAATGTTATGTTCAGAATTTCATGTTTGTAAATAGAAATATCTTTCGTATATACATACAAGCGCGTATGTGTATATAATCGCTTTTAGTGATATAACGTGAGCGTAAATTATATTAAGCGACGGTACAGATTGATGTTGCGGTGACATCGTTGATGTCGCTGACACAAAGGTCGTGTGCAGATTACAGCTCCGGTAAAATATCTGACAGTAAAATGGACAAAGGTAGTCAAATCAACTTTTACTTGTAACTCAGATTATTTACCATCAAGTATTATTAATTCAGTGTCATTAAATTCTTTTTAGCATTTTGAATGTTTAAAAGATTTTTAATTCTTGCGCGTTATCATCAGTAATATATTAGAACGGAAAAATTCACTACAAATTATCATTGTATGTCATCAAATAATGCTCAAGTTCTTTATCTTTCGCAAATATCCTAAGTTACAGCGGACGAAACATTTGTAGTTTTTTGTTAGACTAATTTTATAACCTTACTGTATTATTCAATGTGTCTATATTATGAAATATACTAAAATATTAAACACATTTTTGTATGTTTCAAAATAATAGAAAAAGTAAAATTTGGCTATTTACCGTGACACCTTATTTATGAAGTACATAATAATTGTGCATCTTTTTAGTTTGTCCTTAACTACAGTAAAGACTTTATTGTTTTATTAGATGTACTCTTTAAATTTTACATTTTCAAGTATGTACAATATAATTATTCGGCCTTGTGTAGTATGTTATTATCCTTTTTTACAATCAAGCTATTTAATATAGAGATAATAGTATTTTTATTAAACATCGTGTATTACATTTGAGGAGATCGTTATACGGAAATGATTAATGATTAATGATTAATGATTAATGATTAATAATATCGGATTGATATACTCAATATAACTGTTTTCATATAATTATAAATATATTTTACGTTTTCTTTTTATTCTCAACTGCCGACGTTTCTTATAGACGGAAACAAGATAACTATAGACATCTCTTTAAACATAAATTACACAGGTAACGGCATAGGCTACGAAAATACTCTATAAGAAACTATAAACACCTTATTTTGTTTTATTGTGCATCAATGCTAGTTTGATAGTAAGCGAGATAAATAAAATTAACATCTTTCAAGTATCAGTGATGACTAAAACCTTTAAATGTAAATGATATCGAGTAGATTACAAAATTATAATGAAGACAGAGCTGCGACTCCCGGTAAAACTTTTCCCTCGAGAAGTTCTAAGCTAGCACCACCACCAGTGCTCACATGGCTTACTTTATCTTCCGTTTTCCATTTAGCAGCGCATGTAGCTGTATCACCACCACCAATTATGGTAATTGCACCTCGTGTTGTCGCTTCTACGACATTGTCCATTAAACTTTTGGTACCTTTACTGAAATTTTCAAATTCAAAAACACCTGCTGGTCCGTTCCACACGATTGTTTTTGCTCTTTTAATAGGTTCTGTGAATCGAGTTAAATATAGTTGAACAAAATATTTTCCCAATGTTGATATGTCTTTAAGATTTTAGATATATATTAGTAATAAAGAGATCAATAAAAATTTACCGCTAAATAATTCCCTTGATTTTGATCCGACGTCAAGTCCTAACCAACCATCAGGTATACCACTTTCTAAATCTGCTGTGCCAACGGTTGCATTGTCCGCAAATTTGTCTGCAGTGACGAAATCAACGGGCAAATGTATTTGAACTTTATTTTTCTCAGCTTTCGATAATAAGTCATTAACGATTTTTGCACCTTCTTCGTCAAACAACGAATTACCGATCTAGACCAAGAAGATCATACTTTAGATTAAATATTTCAAGCGAAATAACAGTTTATCGTACTGTAGTTACCTTCATGTTTTTCGATACTTTTAAAAAGGTATAAGCCATTCCACCGCCTATGATCATCTCATTAACTTTATCCAGCAAGTTATTGATCAACTGTATTTTATCTGCAACTTTGGCACCGCCTAATATTGCCAAAAATGGTCTTTCAGGATTGTCCAATGCTTTGGCAAAATATTCTAATTCCTTTTTCAAAAGAAAACCACTTGCTCTTACTTCATATCCTTCACCAAGCATGGAGCTGTGTGCACGATGAGCTGTACCGAAAGCATCATTAATATAAATATCTCCTAATTTCCTTAATGCTTTCCTAAATTCCTCTACTTTTTCCTTATCAGCTTTTACCTAAAAAGAAAGAAAAGAAAATGCACTTAAACATAGTAAAAAATGTAAGATAAGATTTCTTAGCTTCATCTAATTAAATTTATTATATAAATGAGAATAACATTGAAATTTGCTTACTTTATTTCCATCTGCTCCAATTCCTTTACCTTCTTCCTCTATGTGAAATCTTAAATTTTCAAGTAAAATAATTGTTCCAGGTACTGGATTAGAACACGCAGCTTCAACCTCTGGTCCAATACAATCATTCAAGAATAAAATGTCCTTTCCAAGCAGGGATTTTAACTCTTCCGCAACAGGTTTCAAAGTATACTTTGGATTCGGTTGACCATCTGGACGTCCCAAATGTGACATTAAAACAACAGATTTAGCCTTCTTTTCAAGAGCATATTTGACTGTATCCAAAGCAGCAACGATTCTTTGGTTATTGGTAATTTTACCATCCTTCAATGGTACATTGAAATCAACGCTGCAATAGCAATGAGGTTAACGCTTACGAATACTATAAACTTAATACGATCTAACTCTTTGATACATCTTGGCCATAAATTAAAAAAAATATCGTCTAGTTTTATTACTAGAATATTGTTCGTAAAACATTTAACATTAACATTAACGTTAATATTTTTATAGATATATTTTTAACAACAAGTGCAAATTACATGGTACAAGATTATATTGCGTTTCACGCAATAGTTATGTTCTAATTTAGTTATTGGAAGAAAAATGGACTACAAAGAGAGATATACCGTATGAGAATTCGTTTATCCGCAAGATCGACTTTATCGATGCTAAGCTTATTCAGTGCCATAGCTTCAATGTTTGAATGGCTTGAACTTGATGTTATATCACGTACAACAGCAAATGTGTTACTACTGTTCCTCAACTTGGATGTACTTTGTCTAATGTTCCAACTACTGGTCAAATTTTTGATCACTGTCGAGTATCTGTTACCGTCTTTACACTTCGACTCGACAAAGTCAAAGCAAGGTCGACGAATACAGCGACCTCTTAAAAATGTTTGAATTACGCGCATCGAAACGATCATTTCGTACGTGTATTCGCTACAAGCTTCATCTGACAGTGAGAAATATGTGATCTATGGAGGCTTAATTTATCATTTATCTTTCTAATGCATACACAATGTGATCTAATGCATAGAAAAAGAAAGAAAAAAGTATATAGAATAGTATAGAAAATAGTCTAGAACATACTATGGAAAAGGAATTTCTAGTTTGTATAGAGTTTCGAATTTACTTAAACGGTTACGAATTAGATTAATATACTATTGGTTAACAGTCGTAACATTATTTTAGCACTTACTTTAACACTTAATAGTAGTAGTTTCATAACGGTTATTATAAAATGTTATTATAAGAACAAAGGTAATTTTCTTTCAAGCGGTAAATATTATATTACATAAAAGAAAGGTTAACGTTCGCATATATGTCGTGTCATGCGACAAAAATGAATATAATAGAGTCACGTGTGGTATAGGTACATTCGTTCTTTTATTAAATTTGACTACGACATCTAACTAATTATATCGTTTAGTTAAAACATACAATATAATAATATAATAAGGCACATAGTACGTAAATTCTGTCTTTTCTCGTTTCTTTTTTTTTTATTTTATATAACTATATACATATAGACTTACGATATCAGAATGCATATATGGTGCGTAGGCGCGCACGCACGCGTGTATTCATGGTTGCGCGCGCGCGCGTGTGTGTGTGTGTGTGTGTGTATATTATTCTCACTATCGTAATAAAAAATGGTCAAGAATATGGAGTGACGAATTGAAATTTAGTTTAATTTAGATTAATTCAAAGATACAAGATAAACACACGCACATACATGCGCACGCGTGCGAAGACATTATTAAAGTATCGATGATAGCAATAAAATCATTAATCGGCTTGAATGTACCATAGCATATACATATATGGACTAAGTCCCATAAACGGTGTTTAATCAACGTCGGGTATTCCGGTATTTTGTCTGACCGCTGCTATTCTCGATTCTGGCATAGTAGCACAGTTGCTCCCAGTTGGTTTATCTGATTTCAAAGATAACATAAAATAATGAAATTACGGGAAGAGAATGACGATTATCTTTCCATTGATAGAGGAATGTATATGCGTGTATGTGTGTACGTGCATGCGTTGTACGTGCGCGTTGAAACATGTGTAGATAATAGATCGGATTGATATCTTCTCGTTTGTTTTATTCTCATTATCGACTATAGAATCTTAATAACGAATCGTAGTTGCATGAAACGAAGATGGAAGCATTCTCTACAGGAAAAACTGAGACAAATATGTTATTATTGACCAACTACGTAAAAAAATTATAACATTCGTTGAATAAAAAAATCATGCGAATCTCGTGTGAGCATGCTCTAACCGATGCTGTACAGAAATAACACAACGTTGCTAAATGCGAATGCGAAATACGCGAAACATAGTTGTATATATTTTCTCGCAAAAAAATCTTGACTACGGTCTCTTAATTCGTAAACGGATGAAAGATAGTAGTAATAATATTATTATTACTACGGTATTGCGAAAACATTGGTATTGTAGTGATTCTTTTGTATAATCGTATAGTTCCATGATATACACGTTATTATTTGACTGATTATTTTTAATATATCTAAGTTAATTAAATCTTGAGAATTTCGCATCGATTTACATATAAATGGAAAATATTACTTTACGGAATTTGCAATTGGTATCTACATATAAAAGTAACAATCATCGTCGATTATCGACTATCGATCGAACGAAGCGTGTAATAGCTAATTTGAAATCATTGGAATCACGATGAACGACCGGTTAAGAAAGGAAAAACTTTTAAACTTTTAAGAAGAAAATTTAGAAAATTAGAAGGAATAAAGGAGAGCAAAAAACTAGGAGCATGCTATCAGTCATAGCGAATCGTTAACAATATAATGCAGAATACGCGAATCGTAATAAATATTTGAAATGGTGTCTGTGTTTGAATCGGTTTAGTTGAAAGCGAGTGGTTAGTCAAACCGCGTAAGCATCGGTGTAGAGCAAGGGGATCGGGGTGAACGGGTTGGTTGGTAGGGAAGATCGAGAAGAGAAGGAGGCGATGGAAGAAAAGGAACATGACGGTAGTTGTGTCAGTGTGTGTCCAATGCCAGTGGAACGCGACGATTTGCTTTCTGGCTCTAGCTCGCTCGTCAAAGAACTTGGGCCACCGGTTCGTAAACGAACTCACGGTGTTATCTAGATCGCATTTTAAATTCGGCAACGAATTTTATTCGTTCGCTGATAGTGTCCCAGATGAAGAGGACCGTGCAATTTATTACAAATCGCGTTACATTCTTACCGATTCTCTCCGATCAACCGATCGAACTGTTTATTCGTTTCTAGTGCTAAATAACACATCGATCGTCTCATCGATCTACTGCTGCCCTTGCTACTACTACTAGTACTACGACTACTACTACTACTACTACTATTACTACTACTACTACTACTACTACTACTACTACTACTACTACTGCTACTACTACTACTACTACCACCACCACCACCACC